TGTTAGAGCAGCTTAGTAACTATTTACTGATTAACAATCAACATAGAAAAATGTTGCTTATGACTAATGTTTTCAGTTTAATTTTGCCCAACTTTCTAATTATGAAAAATTTCAAGTATGTAGAAATTTTAAAGGCTAGAATAATAAGCACCAATGTGCCTCTCCACTTAATTAAATACTTGTTAATATTTTCCCTTATTGCTTTAGAGGTATGTGTATGCTTTGGAATAGCAAAACTCATTGATAAACACATCTGTATAACCACTGAATGTTTTTTAACTGAAAAAAAATACAGAGCCATTTGGAGTTTTTTCTTCAGTCTTTTTATATAGTAAGTAGAATTTAATGATCAGGTATTGAAAGGAAAACATTCCTGTGAACACAATAACCTCTCATTACCCAACCTTATACCAGACACACTTTATATGTTTCCAGAGCAAATCCTGAGAGCCCTTGAGTCTGTGCTAACGTTCCTCATGTTTTATAGAGGAAATGGAGATGTAGGGAGGTCAGCAAGCTCTGTCTGTGTATCTCTCCCACCTCAAGCCTTCAGAATCCTTTCCATATTTATTGTCAACTCTGAGACTACAATGGATGACAACCCTACTCTGAGTTAGTAGAAACCAAATACTGTTAAATATTTATCTCTGGGGGCTGGAGAAATAGCTCAGTGGTTAAGGACTGTGCTTCAGAGGACCCAGGTTTGGTTCCCAGCACTCATATGGTAGCTAACAACTGTTCATAACTCCAGATCTGATGCTCTCTTCTGACCTCTGTGGGCCTCGTACGACACAGATGCACCTACGTACACACAGGCAATACATTCATACACATAAAATATTAAAAAAATAAATGTCTTTTATTATTTAAAATTATATGTATATGTGTATGTTTGTGTATATGCGCACATGAATGCAGGTGCCCCAGAGTCCAGAAGAGGGAATCAGATCCCCTAGAGCTAATATAACAGGCAACTTTGAACCACCCACATGAGTGCTAAGAACTGAACTCAGGACTGCAAAGGCAGTATAGTCTATTAACTGCTAAGCATCTCTCCAGCCCCAGGAATCAAATACTTTTAACTTTATCTCTTATAAATGATTATCAAAGGAAATGTGTTTTGCCTGCATCTATGTAACTGCACCCATGTGATGCAGTCAGTGCTCATAGAGAACAGAAGAAGGTGTTCTATCCTTTGGAACTTCTGGATGGTTGTGAGTTACCATGTGTTGCTGGAAACTGAACCCAGGTCCTCTGCAAGAGCCATCAGTGCTCTTAACTGCTGAGCCATCTCTCCAGTTCCTCTATGGCATAGTTTTGAGGATGTCGTATAAATAGAATACAGTCTGCAGCCTTCTGAGACTGGCTTTTTTCATTCAGTATGACACCTGTGAGATTAATCCAATTATTGTTCCTATCCCTAGCCATTTCTTATAATGCACTAGTGGGACCAGCCACTCCAGTTGTGGATCCTGCCTCTGAAGAATCAGGGACTGATTTAATATTTTATTTATTTATTGTCTTTTTGAGACAGGGTCTCCCTGTAGCCCCAGCTGGCCTGGAACTCACTATGTAGACCAGGCTGGCCTTGAACTCACAGAGACCACCTATCTCTGCCTCCTGAGTACTGGAATTAAAGGTGTGTACTACCACACCACAGCTCTTAAACTTTTTTAAACTAATTTTTTATTTTATTTTATATGCATAAGTGTATTGCCTGCATGTATGTAAGTGTACCCATGTCGTGCAATGCCCACAGAGGTCAGAAAAGGGGGCAAGATCCTCTGGAACTGTAGTTATAGGTGGTTGTTAGCCACTGTGTAGATGCTGGGAACCAAAACAGGTGCCTCTGCAAGAGCAGCCAGTGCTCTTAACCACTGAGTCACCCTTCCAGCCCCATATTAATTAAACTTCATAATCATACAGCAAGGAAAAAATATGTTTGAAATCTTTTAGAGGTACAGTGTTAAATATTTGTCATCTAATATTTCAGATTTATAACTGATGGCTGTTATTAATGCTTATCTAAAAGTGAATTACTATGAATTTTAGTATCCAATTTTTATTAAGGAAATTCCTGTTACAATGAAAGTTGGCCTCTGTTATCTGGTAAATAATAAAGGATTACAAATTTCACCTTTGGCTTTGTTGCCACTGAGAAAGAACAGATCCAGGGCAAGGCCCCTGATAGCCAGGCTGGAGGAAGCTCAAGCTAGCAACAATGTTCAGCCCTGTCTGAAGCAAAAAGACTACATCCTCACTGACCAGGGCCCTGTGCTGGGTAATGGCCATTCCCAAATATGGTACATATCTTAAAGAAAATTTCAGGCCCCAGTATGTATATTAAGTTCAGCACATTGGGTGAGCAGGAATTTAAAAGGGCAAGGATCAAGGATGAAAGATCGGACACTTACAATTGATGAATACAAGGGTGTCAATGGAAAATGGGAGCAGCACAGAACTAATTGCAACTTGGACCCACGGAGTGGCCTTTGCTGAAGAAGGACCCATCAAACTTTCCTTTCCTTAAACCTGTGCATAGACTCCAATAATTAGGCTAAGAAGAAAACAAAAACAAACTGCCCTGGCACTGCTGAGCCCCTCCTTTCCATCCCACACCTGAGGGACTCCATCTTCATATACAATGTGACAGACAAGTTACATCCCACTCTGGCCCTCAAATCTAATCTAATGGAGCTGTTTGTTTACTTTCTGTATTTACCACAAAAATACTTTTATATTTTTGTACACTACAGTTCAACAAACCTGTAGTTAAGCTTGTATAAGACCACCCTAGGTACCTGATACCTATGTTTTTCTAAGAGTTTCATAATTTTAGCTTTTTTAAAAATATATTTTATTAGGCCAGGCGTGGTGGTACACACCTTTGATCCCAGCACTTGGGAGGCAGAAGCAGGCAGATTTCTGTGAGTTCAAGGCCAGCGTGGTCTACATAGTGAGTTCCAGGCCAGCTGAGTTACAGGGAGACCTTGTCTCAAAAAGACCAAAAAAAGCCAGGGGTGGTGGTGCACGTTATATTATTTTATGTGCATGAGTGTATTGCCTGCATGAATGTAAATATGCCCATGTTGTACAATGCCTGTGGAGCTCAGAGGAAGGCATCAGATAACCTGGAACTGGACTTACAGATCATTGTTAGCTGCCATGTGGGTGCTGGGAGCCAAACCCAAGTCCTCTGTGAGAACAGACAGTCCTCTTAGCCTCTGAGCCATCTCTCCAGTCCCCATTGCATGAGTGTATTGCCTGCATGAATGTAAATATGCCCATGTTGTACAATGCCTGTGGAGCTCAGAGGAAGGCATCAGATAACCTGGAACTGGACTTACAGATCATTGTTAGCTGCCATGTGGGTGCTGGGAGCCAAACCCAAGTCCTCTGTGAGAACAGACAGTCCTCTTAGCCTCTGAGCCATCTCTCCAGTCCCCATAATTTTAGTTTTTGCACTTAGGAAAATCTAATCTTAGTTTTCAACAAACATATAAACAAATCTTGGATAAATAAAGTCTTTGTAATTGGGAAAAAGGCAACAACTTATAATTTTATCTTTATCTTATTCAGCTTTATGTACCCAGGTGATAATATCCCAGTATATGTTCATAGTGTTAAATAAGCTCTTGTAGTAAAATCACCTTGAATTCTCCTCCCTGAGCTCCTTCTGTAACTTAATCTAAATTGTTTTGTCCTAAGTTTACTTAGCAGAGATATGTCCTTCATCTTGATCTGTACCTAAGGCATTGGCAGCCCTTAGTGAATATTTATTTGCAAAACACCCACAAACTATGGGTCTGATGAATGAGCTAGATCAAACTGCTGAGCAATAATCCTGTGAGGAGATGCAGTTTGTAGCAGGACAAGGAAAGGGATCTGCTTGGACCCCAAAGAAACTCCAATCATTCATTCAAAATAAACCTAGTCTGAATTTTCCAGGACAGGCCTCTAAGACATGAGACAAGGCAGCCACCAAAGCACATTTTCTACTGTTTAGATAGCAACTAACACCATTGCTGGATAGCTTTAGTTGTCAACTTGACACACCTGGGTAGAGGGACTCACAATTGAGGAACTGCCTCCACTGGGCTGGCCTGTGGCCATGTCTGTGGGGTGTTTTCTTGATTGTTGAGTGATATGGCAGGGCCCAGCCCACTGTGGTGGTCCTGTGTTTTATAAGGTTGAGCACTGGGGCTGGAGAGATGGCTCAGCGGTCAAGAACACTGGCTGTTCTTGCAGAAGACCCGGGTTTGAATCCTAGCACCCACATGGCAGCTAACAACTGTCCGTAACTCCAGTTCCAGGGGATCCGCCAGCCTCTCTCTCTGTCCTCTGCGGGCATTGCACAACACGGGTGCACTTACCTACATGCAGGCAATACACACATACACATAAAAATAATAAAATATTTTTTTAAAAAAGAAAAGTTGAGCACAGGCCAGGGGAGCATGCCAATAAGCAGCATTCCTCCAGGTTCCTGCCAAGTTCCTGTCTTGGCTTCCCTTGATGATGTACTATGAGCTGCAACCTAAATAGGCCCTTTCTTCCCCAAGTTGGTTTTGGTCAGTGTTTTTATCAGAGCAATCAAAAGTAACTAAGACACACCAACAACGAAAATGTACTCATATTCACTCTACCTTGCTTTGTTCCCCAAGTACGACTGTAACTCATTTCTGGCCTCAAAGAGGTACACATCCCACTTGCCAGTGAGAATGACAAGCCAAGAACAGAGAGTTTGCAAGACAGGTAGAAGTGAGGAGCAGGACTAGTCCTTAAAGGTGAGCAGGCTCTTTCTTGCTGGTGCTGAGGATGAAACCCAGGGTCTTGAGCATGCTAGGCAGGTGCTCTAGCACCAAGCCATATCCCCAGCACCAATAGTGAGCAGGATTTTGAAGAGAAGTAAGAGAAGTTTCAGGCAGAGAAGCCGTGTTGGTGAGAGAAGAGGCACAGGAGACACACTTATCTCCTGATTAACAATCTCTGTGTTTCAGAGGAAAGCCAGCCGCCTTCTGAAAGGTGAAGACAGAAACAAAGTGAACACCAGGACCGTCAGCCTGGACACAAACGCATCCCAACCAGCAGAAGCCCAGGCCCTGCCCGTGGAGGGTCTCCTCTCTACCTCCAGAGAATGTTGGACCAAGGAGGGGCAGCCAGCACAGTGCAGCAGTTTCTCCGGGTTTAGCAGCAGTGACAGCGTCCTCCGGGAACTGGATGATGGACAGTTTGACCAGGAAGATGGTGTGACGCAGGTCACTTGCATGTGAGCTGGCGGGTGAAGCAACAGAAGGTTTTGTAAATAGTTATTAAAATGGCTGCCAACTGACTTTATTATTTTTATCTGCATTTATGTAATTTTTTCAAAAATTTTCCAGACCCCATCTTTACTCTATGTAAACTTTGGCTCAACCTCCCAGATAAGGAAGAATAACCAGCATTATTTATCAATTCAGAATCATGTTTCCATTTCTCTCAACTAAAACATCTGGCTAAACAGATGTCCTACTTGGTCATTAAGTGATAGCCTACTTCAGTTTCTCATGAATAGATAGAATAAATGTTCTTACCATTCCTATTAAAAAGACTGACTATCCAAGTTATTATATTAACCAGTTAGAGAGCTCTCAGGAAGTTACAGTCTTATTTAAGTGAAAAATAATCTTTCTGTCTCTCATTCCCCTTCTCTTTCACATACACACAGATTAGTGAAAATAAATATTTCCTGACTATAACAATCTTAATTTTGTGTTTGCCTATGGCATGTATATACAAAGCAGATCCTGTTTGTCAAAATAGTCTCCTTTCCTATGTCTTTCCTTTTAAAGGGTCACTATGCTACCAACCCCCTTACTGATACACTGAACCTGGGCATTATTGATCCTAATGACCACAGAGAAGCACCTCTTAAAACCCTGTCAGAAGAGAACTCATAATCACAACATGTGGAAACCTTAAACAGAAACATTTGACTTTCTTTGAAATTGCAAATACCAAGGCTGGAGAGATGGCTCAGTGGTTAACAGCACTGGCTGCTTTTGCAGTCAACCTGGGCTGGGTTCCTAGCACCCACATGGCAGCTAACAACCATCTGTAACTCCAGTCCCAGGGATCCAACACTGTCTTTTGACCTCTGTGGGAACTACACGACCTGGGTGTACTTACATACATGCAGGCAATACACTCCTACATGTACAAATAAATATTTTAAAAGAATAAAATTGTATATACCATTGAAGAAAAAAATACCAACTCAAATGGAAGCATGCCTTCCACTGCTCTCTAGATTATAATTGGGCTTGTATCTTGACGTGTCAAATCTGGAAGAATGTTGAAACCCAGACCTCTCAGTCCTGCAGGACTGGAGATAGGTCAAACCATGCTGTGTGACATGGACCTACTCCATGTCACAGGGAGGCTTCTCTACTAGGTAAAGATGAATGTTCTACAAAATAGAAGACTCATTTATGTATGAAAGGCTTACCTTCAAGAGAATTACAACTGGCTCTGCCAATGAGGAATTCAGCCTATCATATTTTATTAGCTTGATGTTGACATTGTGAAACATTCAAATAATAAACTGTCATTTTTTATTAGGATGTCATTTTATTGAGCACAAATATTCATGTATTTATCTTAGTTTGCTTATTTTGTTTCTTTTAATCTTTTTTATTATTTTATGTATATGAGTCTATTGCCTACATGTATGTAAGTGCACCTGTGTCATGCAATGCCTGTGGAGGTCAGAAGAGGGCATCAGATCCCCTGAAACTGGAGTTACAGACCATTGTTTGCCACCATGTGGGTGCTGGGACTCAAACCCAGGTCCTCTGAAAGAGCAGCCAGCACACTTAATCACTGAGCCATCTCTCTAGCCCTACTGGTTTTGTTTTCTGAGACTGGGTCTTGCTACATGTAGCTTGGCTCACTTGGAATGCACAGTAATTCTGCCTGTTTCCTGAGTCCTGGAACCTATAAGGCATATGCCACCATGCCTGGCTTTCATATGCTGTGTACATAGGACAGATATGTACTGTATATTATCAAATATATACTGTAACTAAACTAAGCCAATCTGCATGAATTTCCAATGAGGTCACAAGAATGACTTTATAATTAACATGCCAAAGCTCCTTTTACACATATAAATGGAAATAAGGACTTTCTGCTCAGCCTTACACTTTAGAAATACCTATCAATAATATGTGTGGGGATGTTTTTTGTCTTGATTTTGAAATTTTTATTTATTTCTATTTTGTATGTATGAGTGTTGTGCCTGCATGCAAGTGCACCTGGGTATGCAATGCCCACAGAGGCCAGAAGAGGGTGTCAGATCCCCTGGAAATGGAGTTATGGACAGTTGTTAGCTGCCATGTGGGTGCTAGGAACCAAGCCTGTGTCCTCTGCAAGAGTAGTCAGTACTCTTAACTGCTGAGCCATCTCTCTAGCCCCTTATCTTGATTCTTAAATGAACTTTGGTTATATATTCAAGAATTAGTGAGTAGGGCATGGTAGTACACACCTGTAATCCCAATCTTCAGAGGCTGAGGCAGGAGGATCAAATATTTGAGGCTACAGGACACCTGCTGCTACATAATATCTTTAGACACCTAGACATGACAGAGAAGCTGTACCCATGAAATGTCAACATTTTTTTTGGAGGGGAGTATTTTTTTTTTTTTTTGAGATAGGGTCTCCCTGTAGCCCAACTGGCCTGGAACTCATTATGTAGAACAGGCTATGCTCTGGATCTCACAGATCTCACAGAGATCCACCTGCCTCTTCCTCCTGAGTGCTGCGATTAAAGGTGTGCACCACCATGCTAACTATATGTTTTCTTAAACAAGACCTGCACAATGACAATACTAGCTGACATGCTGTAAGCTCAAATTCACTGCTGGAAGGTACATGTGGCATCCAGTTCCCTCCTCCCACTGTCCTTATGACAACCCAAGGCAAGAATTCTCCAAAACCACCATTTGGAAAATCCTAACAAGTTTATTGACCTTGCTAACTGAGCTTGGGGTGCTGATTTACTTACAAAAGAATGCCCCCCTCCACCAATTCATGGTTGTACTGGAAAATCCACACCCAAACATAAATCCTGTGGCTTCCCGACAGTCACACAAAATGGGAAGAGGCCTGCCTCATGGCATTCTCCACTAATATATCCTTAGCCCTTCCCCCCCATGCAGCTAAGATCGACTGATTGGATGGGAGGGGTAACTGGATCCCCCCACCTGACTCCTTTCCAGGAACTTGGGAAGGAGGTGGGACTATAGCTTGCTGCCATAGTGGTTGAAGGAACTTCCAGGTAACACATGCCAGGGTGGATGGGAGAAATTTCACAAGGCCCCACATGTAGATGAAGAGCTATAGGCAATCAATGGCTGTTGAGAGAGGGAGAATCAGTTTTCTCAAGGAACAAGCTCCCTGACAGGTTATCCAATCCCAAGTGGTCAGTCCTAAATATGTATACACAAACACTAAATGGACTCAGTAGGTTGTGGGTATGCATATAAAATCCTGTGGCTTCCCGACAGTCACACAAAATGGGAAGAGGCCTGCCTCATGGCATTCTCCACTAATATATCCGTAATATAACCGTAATTAAAGAAGAGGCCACAAAATTAGGAGGGAGTAGACGGGAAGTGAAATAGCAAATGTTTAGATGATCCCTGCCCTACTCCAGCCAAACATCCTAGAAAAATCTGAGACCTCCCCTACCTATGCCAGGTAAGACCTGGGATAGTCTGGATTTCCACCCTCATGAGGCTGTGTTACAGTCTGGGTATTAAGTGCCCCCGCCCCCACATAAAGGCCTATGTGTTAAAGGCTTGGTCTCCACAGCTGGTGGTACTATGGAGAGGGCACTAACTTTATCAATGGATTAACCCAGTGATGCGTTCATAGCTTACTATGGGTTCATATTTATTAAGAGGGGGTACTTAGAAGTAGGTCTTTAAGGGCTGGTCTGCCTTTGAAGCATATACCTTGTCCCCAGACTCTGTCTCTCTGCTTCCCAGCTGCCATGAGATGAGCAGCTTTCCTTTGTTTGCCCTTCTGCCATGATACTTCTGTCTCATACTGCCTGAAAGTGATGAAGCCACCTGACCAAAACCTCTGAAACTACGGGCTAAAGTAAAGCTTTCCTCTTGATTTTTCTCGTGTATTTTGATATAGCCACAGGACTCTGTCAACCACAAACTGTAACAAGAGTCTTCAAAACTCCAGCTGTGGTGAAGTCAGAGATACACAGGGAACTAAGACAGTTTCATCATGTCTAAAGATTATATTATACCCAAGGACTTTCAATGACCCTTAAAGATATTTAAACTGTTATACCATTATTTGTAATAAATCCTCTATAATTTTAAGAAATAAAACAGTCAGGGCTGGAGAGATGGCTCAGCAGTTAAGAGCACTGACTTCTGCTGCAGAGGACCCAGGTTCAATTCCCAGCATCCACATGGTGGCTACGAACCGTCCTTAACTCCAGTTCCAGGGGAATCCAACTTCCCTCTTCTGACCTCCGAGACATTGCATGACACGGGTGCACTCACACATATGCAGGCAATATACTCACACACACAAAATAAAAATAAATTAATATTTTTTAGAAAAAGAAATAAAATAAGCCGGGCGTGGTGGTGCACACCTTTAATCCCAGCACTCTCAGGAGGCAGAGGCAGGTGGATCTCTGTAAATTGAAGGCCAGCCTGGTCTTCATAGCGAGTTCCAGGACAGCTGGAGCTACAGGGAGACCCTGTCTCAAAAAAGACCGAAAAAAAAAAAGATAAAAGAAATAGTCAAGTTTTAAAGGAAGAACACTAAAACTACTGAGTGGTTGTTTGCTAGACATGACAATCCAAGGCTGTCGTGTTTGGTGTTTCATCCTCAAAACACCAAAGGTCAGATTTATGAGTCTGATGTGCTACCTACACTACACTAATGAGGCACATTGAAGGCTGGACTTATCCCAGTTCAGGATAAAGAAACCAGCCCAGAACGCTGGAATACATGGGTAGTTATGCACAGCTTTGGGGCTAAGAAACGAGAATTCAGAATTTGGCTTGATTCCAAGTATCCTCATCACACAGAGAAATGATTAGGTTGTTCTTCAACCCAAAAGTAGCATCTCTCCTTTATTCCTCTCTTTTCTTAGTAATCAGCAATCATTAAAGCTATGGAAGCAATCAAGTGAATAAAGCACTACGAAACTATTTATAATTCAACTTTAAAAATTGCTGGAACAGCCAGGCGTGGTGGCGCATGCCTTTAATCCCAGCACTTGGGAGGCAGAGGCAAGTGGATCTCTGTGAGTTCAAG